AAAAATGCTGCATTTATAGGCTTGGTTATTTTGCAGTCTAAGTCTCCCATAAAGAAATCACATCTAGCCCATGTGTGTTGAAAGAATGCATGAAGGAAAAAAGAAAAGAAATCACAAAATATGAAGAGTATGGAAATTTCCTATGAGATTCATGATGCCATCAATGTTCTCCACTCTGAACTTGAGAGCAAGTCTTCTCTTTTTGATGCATTTATCCCTTTTAGAGCTTTGTGGCTTTCAAAGCTTGGGCAATCTTAAGATTTGAAGAGTTTACAGAATATATAGGATTATAATCTGCTTTTTCTACCACCTAGTTTGTTCTGAGTGACTGTTTATAAACAATAGACTGATGGGATATCATCTGAATTTATTGACTGGTTTCATTCATTGCAAAAGTAGGTATTATTGGTATGAATTGAATACCAAAAAATTCAAAGATGGTGACGAAATACATTAGCTATTCATAACGAAGGACAAATTTAAAATGTAGTTAACAACAACAACAAAAATCAATGAAAGCAGGGTGCGGTGGCTCATGCCTGTAATCCTAGCACTCTGGGAGGCCAAGTCAGGATCGCTCAAGGTCAGGAGTTCGAGACCAGCCTGAGCAAGAGCAAGACCCCATCTCTACTATAAATAGAAAGAAATTAATTGGCCACACTAATATATATAGAAGAAATGAGCTGGTGCATGGTGGCGCATTGTCCCGTAGTCCAGCTACTGGGAGCCTAAGGCAGGAGTGATCCCTTGAGCCAAGGAGTTTGAGGTTGCTGTGAAGGAGGCTGATGCCACAGTACTCACTCTAGCCTGGGCAACAAAATGAGACTCTATCTCAAAAAAAAAATAGTCAAAAGTTCTTAGGCCAATAGGCATCTTGTTACTGCTTTTTTGGTAAGTGGCATTCTGATTGTATTCTATTGAAATTACCCCCAGCTAAAACAGAAATAGTATATATTTATTTTATTTATTTATTTATTATTTATTTAATTTTTGAGAAGAGTCTTGTTCTGTGCCCGGGGTTAAGTGGCCATGGCATCAGCCTAGCTCACAGCAACCCTCAAATTCCTGGGCTTAAGCGATCCTCCTGCCTCAGCCTCCCGAGTAGCTGGGACTACAGATGTAAGCCACCAGGCCTGGCCTGATATAGTATATATTTTAAATGCTAATGAGATAACCTGAAGTTCTTTTTTTTTGAGACAGAGTCTCACTTTGTTGCCCAAGCTAGAGTGAGTGCCCTGGCATCAGCCTCACTCACAGCAACCTTAATCTCCTGGACTCAAGCGATCCTCCTGCCTCAGCCTCCCGAGTAGCTGGGACTACAGGCATGTGCCCACCATGCCCGGCTAATTTTTTTCTACTATATATTAGTGGCCAATTAATTTCTTTCTATTTATAGTAGAGACAGGGTCTCGCTCTTGCTCAGGCTGGTTTCAAACTCCTGACCTCAAGCAATTCTCCTGCCTCGGTCTCCCAGAGTGCTAGGATGCCAGGCGTGAGCCACCGCGCCCAGCCTGAAGTTCTTTTATGTAGATGTGACAGCTTTGGAACCGAAGTCTAGAAGATATAAGAATGTTTTATTTTCACTTAATTTCTCTTAAGAAAACTAATAAAGTGTGATTCAAGGCACTTGTCCTATTTACACCTAAAGCTTACCCTTAGCGATTCGGTCCTATGGTTTAACCAATCCCTTTTCAAGTTCCTCCTCCTTAAATTCAAATCTACTCAGGGAAGACAACTCATTAAAATGCCTACACTTTATTAATAATTCAGTTAAATCAGCTGTAGGATCATCAAAGAATAAATTACAATAACTTCAGTGAGAAAGAGTAGGCAGTGCAGATTGGTCTGTCCGAATGATTATTGAGAACATTCCAGATTCTAAGCAGGGTGCTGGATACTAGACATTCAAAAATGAAGAAGCCATAGTGCTCGATCTCGCAGGAAGGGTTGAAGAGGAAAATAGTGGGATTGATGCCAAAAGAGAAACGATGAAAGACACTAGAGAAGTTAAACTGCTTACTACACAATTTTGTTTAGCTAGCACCGGTTCTAAACCCAAACACACACGTACGTATATATGCCAAAAAGAATATTCTCTACTCTTATAATACTGCTACTGCTTCAGTTCTTCCTAGAAACTAAAAAAAAAAAAAAGAAAATTTAATTTAGATAAAAACTTTGAAATCTAAAATAACATTTTTTTTAAATCAGCAAATCGAAAAGTTAAAGAACACAACATTCTATCTTTAGTAGCTTTAATAGATTCGATAAAGTAGGCTTCAAATGTCAAAAAGCAATTTTTGCCATCTTTGAAAGCTGTGGCAACTTATTAAGAATAAATTTTTTTTTTTTCTTTTTTTTGTACTGGGTGAGAGTCAAGAAGGAATAAATTTTTAAAATGTTCTCAAAACATTATTTAAACAAACACAGGCTAAGGGACTCATAAGAATATTTAGAAAATAAGATTTGATAATGATATCATAATAGACCTTTTTTCCTTACTAGTACACTAAGCATCATTTCGTCTTGTTTCATTATACTTTCCAACAAAATGATCATTAAACAAAAAATAAATTTTCATGTATCTTATGGAAAGTTCTGGGATCATTGCCTCAAGGCATATGACAGAGAAACTAAATCGAATAACACATTTTAATTCCATTATTAGAAATGAATTACATTTGTGTGATTAATTTCTTTACACAACTGTTTGCTTTTGTGACGAAGATTTAGAAAGTTCAAGATAGGCAAGTTCAAAATTCCCTTGAATTATAACTGATTATTAATAAATGAAAGGAGGCCAGGCGCGGTGGCTCACGACCTGTCATCCTAGCACTCTGGGAGGCCGAGGTGGGAGGATTGCTCGAGGTCAGGAGTTCGAAACCAGCCTGAGCAAGAGCGAGACCCCGTCTCTACTATAAATAGAAAGAAATTAATTGGCCAACTAATATATACAAGAAATTAGCCGGGCATGGTGGCACATGCCTGTAGTCCCAGCTACTCGGGAGGCTGAGGCAGGAGGATCGCTTGAGCCAGGAGTCTGAGGTTGCTGTGAGTGAGGCTGACGCCATGGCACTCACTCTAGCCTGGGCAACAAAGCGAGACTCTGTCTCAATAAAAAAAATAAAAAATAAATAAATGAAAGGAGTCCTCTGACATCTGACCCCAAATCTATCATGATTGTTTTAAGGATGTACACTGATTAGATCTTTTACAAAAAGGCTGACTACGCCCATGAAGGGTTAATGGTTTTGGTTCTTGGCCACATGCATGTGATAAACTTGGAACTTTCTCTTCTGCAAAGCTTGCCCAGCACAGCTGTTCTCAGGTGAGGTACATCACGTCCACTACTACGGCCAAAAAACACTGTGGTGTGAGATTCAGCCAAACTCACGGGCAACCTGGCTCTGGATAAAATAAGAGCACTGCCAAAATTAAGGAAGTTATAAGAAAGCATTTGATTTCTTCTTCTCCTTCATGTGTTTTTATCCATTGGGAACAAGAGCTAAATCTATTTTAGCCAGGCCCGGCTAATTTTTTTTCTATATATATTAGTTGGCCAATTAATTTCTTTCTATTTATGGTAGAGACAGGGTCTCGCTCTTGCTCAGGCTGGTTTCGAACTCCTGACCTTGAGCAATCCACCCGCCTCGGCCTCCCAGAGAGCTAGGATTACAGGCGTGAGCCACCGCGCCTGGCCAAGAGCTAAATCTCATGCATACAATTTACCCTCTCTCAACGCCTATCTTCTTAAAGGGGAGAGGCCAGTTGGAAGGAAAAAAAGTCCCAAGGAAGGAAGGAAAAGAGAAATGGGTCTAAGGAATCTACAAAACAGAAAATACATTGCTGAACAGACAGTGCATTGTAATGTTTTTCTGATGAGGGTGGTAGTAAGATTCTCAAAAAAGAGCATGAAAAAAGCATTCAAGGTGGAAAATATACCATCCCATCCCCCTTCTTATTAGTAAATATGCATGTGCGAGAGATTGCTGGGGGCCTGGAAAATCCCAGTCCTAGCTCTGAACTGACCTTTACCAATATGAGTTTGAGTCCCTAATCTGTAAAATGCGGGGAACATCCACCCCTATGGACTCCAACTGAAAACTGTGCAAAGGAAATTTCTGCGGTGCACTTTTTTTCTTTTAAAAAAAAATGACACACCAAATACAGATCAAGGTTACTACTGTGTGGTTCATTTTCAGTCAGTTGCAAGATTTATGTGTATATATGCATATGGCGGCTGCAGAAGTTTTCAAGGCTAAGAGCCAAAGATTTGGGGCCAAGTTAAGTAGAAAACATTAGTTATATTTTCCTGAAATGGTTTTGATAAATTTAGTCAGACCCAGAAACAAACCACTTCCAAATTTAAGGACACACAACGCATAACATTTAAAATTCAGCTGGCATGTCCTTGTGTTTAAAATATCACTAGTTACCATGGGAAAGCTACAACATGGAGACTTTTAAGAAGTGAGAGAAAAATACCTTCCATCTAATTATACAAATCAGTGCATATTAACCATTGTCTTTTCCTATTTAGGATCTATGAGCAATTTTCTTCTTGTTGGACAATTACTGTTCCAGCTAGATGTGATTACCCTCAGTGTATTTCAGTACTTGATCATCAGATTCATCTTTAAAAAACCAAAAGAAAAAAAAAAACAACCTAAAATTCACAGTATGGACATCTCATCCCTAAAATGAACAAACAGATTAAAAACTTTTTAAATATTTTAAAAATTAAAATGCAGTATGAGAACTATTTTGGAGCTTCTCTTCCTAAAAAATTATCCAACACATTTCACCTAAAAGTGAAGTGTTCACATTAGTTTGGATTTCTAACAGCATTTAATGGGATTCTTTATAAAAAATCATTTCTACATAAATTCTTACAAACAAGCGTACATTAAAATCCCCTCCCTCCAAAGGCTTAAATTGTTTCCCTTTTATTCTGCCCTCCCCCCACTTAGAACCCTCAAGAATGTGACTGTTGTACATACCGTCAGCAGAGAGGTGGGCATGACTTGAAAACGCTTTATCTATTTCTAGAAAAGCCAAGGTCAACACAGTTTCCAAGTCCTTCTCCTTAGGAAGCAAATCCCTTTGTGTGCAGGAAAAAAGAGCCGGAAAGAATAAATTTTACAACAGGTTTTTTTTTCTTCCAAGTCACCCTATCTAGTAGTTATTCTACACGATGGACCTCAAGACTTCCTTGTCAGATGCTGACGGTTCACTGGTTAAGGAATGCTGATTGAGCATCCACTAAGCATCAGGCACCGTGATAAGCTTTTAAGGCCACAAAAATGAAAGTACGTGTCCTCCCGTCCTTAACCACTTGGGTACAGCGCTCACCGGCTGCGAAACCTTGCCAACAGCCAAAACCTTGCCCACAAACTGGCGAAATCTTGCCAACAGCCAAAACCTTGCCCACAAGCTGGCACTCATAGTCCGCACGATAGTTTGTGCTGTGCATTGACGATTAATCCGTTTTGCTCTTGTGTGATGAGGAAAGCTTGAAAGCACTGAAAGCTTGTTTTACTTTATAGGCAGCTTTACTTGTAATGTAAGTCCGAATAGGTAACATATACATATATGTTTTTATTAGGTTATATTTAAATGTTCACAATTTTATTTTGCTAAATGAAAAATTAGAAAAGTCATATCATGGCTGTCGGCTAAAGTCAATGCTCGGCTGTGCGCGTAGTCCACACTGGTACCAAAGTGGTTAGAGAATTAGTCCTCACTACCACAACCCTGAGACGTCAAGAGCTACATCCCATTAACTTAAACCACTGAGTTACTTTTGTGGAATGAGATGAAATATGCATAAATCAACAATAAACAGTATAAATAACTATACCAGGAAGACAAGAAATAGTCATACAGTCATAACTCTGTCACATGTTTTCCTGTCAATTCTAGCAGTAATGTGATCTTTAAAAATGCATTAATATACAGCAGCAGAGCTAAGCCTAAAAAAGAAAAAAAAAAATGCATTAATAGGCTGGGCGCAGTGGCTCACACCTGTAATCCTAGCACTCTGGGAGGCCGAGGTGGGAGGATTGCTCGAGGTCAGGAGTTCAAAACCAGACTGAGCAAGAGTGAGACCCCCGTCTCTACCATAAATAGAAAGAAATTAATTGGCCAACTAAAAATATATAGAAGAAATTAGCCGGGCACGGTGGCACATGCCTGTAGTCCCAGCTACTTGGGAGGCTGAGGTAGAAGGATCGCCTGAGCCCAAGAGATTGAGGTTGCTGTGAGCGAGGCTGATGCCAAGGCACTCACTCTAGCCTGGGCAACAGAAAGTGAGACTCTGTCTCACAAATTTAAAATACAGCAGCATGCACAAGCTTCACGGCAAAACAGAAATAAGAATAATGAATATAATATAAGAATAAGAAAACAATAAAAATATCAAAAAAAAAAGTGGCTGCATGAAGCCACTGGAGTATGGACGTCTACACTGGCGGTCTCAGCCAAAGGGTGCAGTGCAAAGGGCAGGGTCTCAGTGCAGAGTGCATGCAAAGGGTGCAGTGCAGAGTGCATGCAAAGGGTCTCAGTGCAGAGTGCGGGGAGTCTCAGTGCAGAGTGCATGCAAAGGGTCTCAGTGCGGAGTGCCGGGGTCTCAGTGCAGAGTGCATGCAAAGGGTCTCAGTGCGGAGTGCCGGGGTCTCAGTGCGGAGTGCATGCAAAGGGTCTCAGTGCGGAGTGCCGGGGTCTCAGTGCAGAGTGCATGCAAAGGGTCTCAGTGCGGAGTGCGGGGTCTCAGTGCAGAGTGCATGCAAAGGGTCTCAGTGCGGAGTGCAGGGTCTCAGTGCGGAGTGCGGGGTCTCAGTGCGGAGTGCGGCAAAGGGTCTCAGTGTGGAGTGCAGGGTCTCAGTGCAGAGTGCGTGCAAAGGGTCTCAGTGTGGAGTGCGGGGTCTCAGTGCAGAGTGCGTGCAAAGGGTCTCAGTGTGGAGTGCGGGGTCTCAGTGCAGAGTGCATGCAAAGGGTCTCAGTGCGGAGTGCGGGGTCTCAGTGCGGAGTGCGGGGTCTCAGTGCAAAGTGCATGCAAAGGGTCTCAGTGCGGAGTGCGGGGTCTCAGTGCGGAGTGCGGGGTCTCAGTGCAGAGTGCATGCAAAGGGCGTCAGTGCGGAGCGCGGGGCAGGGCAGCGCGCGGCCGCGGGCGGGTGGCACGTACAGGATGCAGCGCTCCATGTGCGCGTGGCAGAAGTCGGCGGCCGCGGGCCCGCCGTGCCCGTCGTACACGGCGAAGCAGAGCACGTCGTCGGTGAGCCGCGCCACGCCGCAGCGGTCCTCGTTCTCGCGGCGCCGGCCGATGAGCGAGGCGCGGCCCACCCTCTGCAGGCTGAGCGCGGGGATGGGCCGGCCGTACTTGATGCTGGGCAATCCCTCTTCCACAACAACAAACAAGAAAGGGGAAGGAGGAGATGCCCAGCTCCAAGTACGGCCCGGCCCATCCCAGGCGCTCAGAGGCGCTGCAGAAGGGTGGGCCGCGCCTCGCTCCATCGGCCGGTCGCCGCCGAGAACGAGGACCCTGCGGCGTGGCGCGGCTCACGCGACGCGTGTCTGCCTTCGCCGTGTACGACGGCCACGGCGGGACCCGCGGCCGCGCCGACTATCTGCAGCGCGCACATGGAAAGCGCGTGCATCGCTGTACGTGCCAGCCCCCGCGACCGCGGCCGCCGCGCTGCCCTGCCCGCGCTGCCGGCACCTGACGCCCTTTGCATGCACTCCGCCTGAGACCTGGCAGCCGCACTGAGACCCTGAACTCCACATGAGACCGACTTTGCATGGGCACTCCGCGAACTGAGACCCCGGCACTCCCAGCGACACTGAGACCCTTCCTGCCAGCCACGTCCTGCACTGAGACCCCCGCACTCCGCAACTGAGACCCGCGCACTCCGCACTGAGACCCCGCCTCCGGCACAATGAGACCTCTGCACCTCACCATGAGACCCTTTGCACGCACTCTGCAACGCTGAGACCCCGCACCTCCACACTGAGACCCATTTGCACGCACTCCGCACTAGAGACGCCGCACTCGGCACTGAGACCCCTGGCACCTCCGCACTGAGACGCGCACTCCGCAACTGAGAGCCCTTTGCATGCACTCCGCACTGAGACCCCCGCACTTTCCGCACTGAGACCCCTTTGCATGCACTCCCGAACCTGAGACACCCGCGCTCCGCACTGAGAACCCTTTGCATTGCACTCCGCACTGAGACCCCGCGCTACCGCACTGAGACCCTTTGCATGCAACTCTGCACTGAGACCCTGCCCCTTTGCACTGCACCCTTTGGCTGAGACGAAGGCCAGTTGTAGAGCGTCCTACTCCCAGTGGCTTCATGGCAGCCACTTTTTTTTTTGATATTTTTATTGTTTTCTTATTCTTATATTTATTCATTATTCTTTTTCTGTTTTGCCCGTGAAGCTTGTGCATGCTGCTGTAATTTACAATTTGTGAGACCAGAGTCAACACTTTCTGTTGCCCCCAGGCTACCGAGTGAGTGTCCTTGCTCAGCCTCGCTCAAACAGCAACCTCCAATCTCTGGGCTCAGGCGATCTTACTACCCGTCAGCCTGCCCCAAGTAGCTGGACTAAACAGGCATGTGCCACCTGTGGCCCGGCCTAATTTCTTCTAATATATTGTTTAGTGTGGCCAGTTAAATTTCTTTCTATTTGGTAGAGACGGGGGGGTCTCACCTTGCTCCGTTCTGGTGTTTTGAACTCAAAACTGACCTCGGCAATCTCCTCCGGCCTCCGAGTGCTAGGATTACAGGTGTGAGCGCACTGCGCCCCAGCCTAACTTAATGGCATTTTTTTTTTTTTTTTTTTTTAGGCTTAAGCTCTGCTGCTGTATATTAATTGCCATTTTAAAG